TCGGTTTTGTTTCGGGATAAAATAGCATGATGATGAAATTGAGAGCAAAGCAATGTTGAATAGACTTTGGATGCAGCATATACGAGAATCTACTCAATCCAAGAGTCACTGTAAGTGGAAACATTCCTCAACTGCCCGTGTCTCTACCACAGATCTATGACCATTACAGCTCATACGTATCCCGATTTTCGACCAACTTGTGATTACTACACATCCATTATTATCCACAGTTATTCCACAGTTGAACCTCCTCCTCACCCCTGGCACAAACTGGACCCCTAACTCATGTATCCGTACTCCGTAAGGCATGGATGGTTTATTTATTAATGGGTCTGACGGTCCGCCCGTTTCTTCGCGCTAAACTTGCTCAAAGCTCAAAGAGTAACTTGACCCGCGTCACTTGAAACGCTCAAATGCCCTCAGCGTGAAGCCTGTTTGACAGCTGTATCATTAGAGGTGCTCTTGCAGATCCAACAGAGCCTCCCTAACTACCTCCTATATCAGTCAATTCGTCGTAGCTTGGTCTAGACAGCCGCTCGTACAAGACATGCAGAACAAGCCCCTCTATGGCGGCTACAACACCCAATCTTTCCACATAGGTACTTCAAAGCTCTGTACAAGCACAAGTCATACAAGCGAGAAGACGGAAAAGAAAGACGATTCGATTCGTATTCTTCCCCTTGTTACATGGTCCCCAGTCGCCGTGAAACATCAACACGGGCCCTAGTCTTGAAGCATTTCACTCCCAGACACAATCGCCTCCAGAACATGGAAGTCAATTCTATTTTCGGAAGCGTCTCAGGCGCTTCGCAGACGCGCCACCCGCTTTCAATAGTTCTAGGTTGACGCTGAGAGTCTTGTTCTCCTGGTTGCGCATGATGTTCACCAACTCCCTCCCTCCCAACTGAGTGGAACAGAAACGTCGGTCTGAAAGTGGCATTTCTTTCAATGCTACTACTGTTAGTGGTTCCATTTCTGATCCCACGTCCCGCGATGCTACGGATACTGCGCCTGGACCAGCTACTACTACTACAGTACTATCCCATCTTGGCCAACTCCAGACCTCGCCTATCATCCCTGAGAGTGCTATGCCTCCTTTGTGCTGTCAGTGTCAAGTACGTACTTCCGTAATCCATCTGACAATCTATGTATCCTTGAGAGAACGTGACCACCTCAAGGATTCGTTGGTCATCTATTAGATCTTCAACCACGTATATGCCAAGCGAAACTCGTGGTTAACCGTTAGCGAGTATTTGCACCGAGCTCGATGGAAAACCATAGTTCGTCCACCAATTGGTTCGTACTGATAGAGTATTGGGTGTTCAATGTTCAATTGCGGGCACCACAGCTCGACCGTCTCCGTGCCACATCTGAGTTCTCTCAGGCTGCTCATAAGCCTTCAATAGGTCTGAGGGCTGTAGGACTCGAAGACTTTCGGTTGTTCCCTCGAACCGTTACCTGTAGTACAGACACGTACCCTTGATACTAAATGGGGTTGCACGGCGAGGCTTCGTAGTTTGTTTGCTACTGCGGGGAGATGGTCCAAATAGCCACTTATATATTATAGCATCCCAAGTCAGACTTACAAACAAAAGAAACCTTGTCCGCAAAGTCGTTGAGGTAGTTCCTCCTGACTCTTTCGTTGAACTTTACCAAGTTCCATCTTGTGATCCTCTCTGTCAGTCGACATTCTCAAAATCAGTGGCAGTATAGTTCAATGATTTCAATGATTTCAATGATTTCAATGATGATTTCTTCTGCTATAATATACGCCCTCTCCGTTTTATGTACATTCTTTTGACGTTGTCCAAACCCATGCAAGTCCTCATTATCTTTCATAACGCATAAAGCCATCCCCACTCGATGTCACTCACAACTCATCCTTAGCAGCAGCAGCATTGCCGCCATTACCTTCCTTTCCACCATCCTGAAGGCCTCTCTTGACCATAGAGCTAATGATCTCATACACAACCTGGGCAGCAGCCAGAGCGGTCTCCTCACCACCATTCTGGTAAGCAGGAGACACCTCAACAACATCAGCACCAACTAGGTTCAGTCCCTCAAGACCGCGAAGAATGCGGATGAACTCGCGGGTAGACCAACCTCCGGGCTCAGGGGTTCCGGTGCCGGGTGCAAAGGCGGGATCCAGAACATCGATATCGACAGAGAGATACACAGGGTTTTCGGTACCAAGCACTTTAAGGATACCGTCAATTATTCCCTTGGTACCGAGATCATCAATATCGTCGGCTGTGAAGCGGACCCAGCCCTGGGAGGTGTCGTCCTCGTTGTCGGCAAAGTCGTTACCTGAGAGCCTGGTGCGTAGGCCGGCATGAACGGAGCGCTCAGAGGAAGAGTTTGAAAGGAGGCCTTCCTGGTTGGCCATCCAAAACATTGAGCCATGGGTAAATTGGGTGGCTCCCCACCAGGAAGGATAGGCAGCTGGGTTCCAAGTATCGAGATGGGCTGTGACGAATGTGTTAATGAGGTTCTTCGCAAGATCGTTGTCCAAGGGCACAATGAACTCACCATCGAAATGCAGGACCTGGATAGGCTTCCCATGAATCTCGTTCAACGCTCTCAAAGCAGGGAGAGCCAAAGAGTGATCACCGCCCAGAGTCACCAGTCGAGCCTTGGGCGCAAGTGCTGAAACCGTCTTGCGGCGACCAAGCTGCTTGAAAGCCTGGGTCATCTGCTCGCGAGCAATATTGTTGTCGATGGGGGTGATAGAAATATCGCCACAGTCCACAATCTTAGCCCAGTTCTGGTAAGGGTTGATACCAGCGCGAGGGTTGAATCCACGCATGGATGTCTGACGAGCAGATGCAGAGCGAATTGCTCGTGGGCCAAAACGAGCTCCTGGGCGGTAGCTCACGGCCGTGTCGAAAGGAGCACCGACGATAGCAATATCGAACGGCTCAGTGGGTTCAGTGAGACACTTTACGTGGTTGAGATGGGCGAATGTGTTGATGCCAGCAAAGGGCCACTGCGAGGAGTCAGTATATGGACCTCCCAGGATAATTCATGATGATCTGATGTTTAATGAGACACTTGGAGCCTTCTCTACCAAGTGCCTATCACATACCTCATAACCCCATTTCTGCTCAAGCTCATCAAGTTCCTCCTTCGTCCACTCCTTATCATCATGATCATGAGAGCAAGCTGTAGCCAGGCCCGCCAAAGCGAGAACATTCAGGAGCTTCATGATGAACGGCAGTTGTATGTAATTCACCAATGAAGTCAACTTGCTTGCAAATATCACAACTTGAGAGTCACGGGAAAGAGAGAAAGAAGTAGGAGAAAAGAGAGGCTGCCAGTGAGGTCTATATAGTCACTATCTACGCTTCACCCTCTACCGGGCGGGCATCCGGCCCCACGAGTCAAGATCCATCAGATCAAGCATACCTCAACTCAAGGAAAGCCTCAAAGAGAGATATAAGGATCGCCGATTGGTCAGTCGAGGCAGTTCTGACCGGATAACGATCTCCCCGCAGTCGTCTTTCTTCCCCGCCTCGAGCCCTCTTGGAGGTTTGGGGAGCGAATTTGCCTGATTCAGGCATAGAATCGCACGTAGAGGCCCTATGATTTCACTTTTGGGTTGAGAGATAGTGACCAGAAAATGGGTCTTTGGTGTGGAACTAGGTTGAGATAGGAAAGTTGGGGCGACGGCACCTCATATTTCCCGGTGACATTTGGGTATGTAGGTAGGTATTCTTAACAAAGTCAAATCATCTTCAGCCGCTGATAAATTGTTAGTCAAACAGTTACTTACCTATAAACGGGGGCATCCTCTAACATTCTTCGACTTTGCAATATCAATTTCCCCTTCATCTCAAGTGTCGCTCTTACAGACATATCTCAAAGTTCTGTTGAGGGACAAGCTTCTTCCAGGTATCATAGGTATTCTCAGTACCGTTTTATGGATAACACATCTTTGTTCCATTATTACGCATCATGGTTAATAGACATCGCATAAGGCGTGCCCGTTGTCCGTCAAAGGGCGTAGTACCCTCCTTCATTCACCACATCTTACAGCACTCGAGGAGAATAGTCTGTCATTGTCTCAAACAGGATAGCACCCAAGACAAGTCACATGCCCCTTCTAACATCAACTGCCATGTCGATGCCTACACTTGATCTACAGTATAAACCGGCAGTTAGCCGGTCGGAAGGACAGTCTGGACCCGATGCAACTACCGAGCTGGCAGGCAAGGGTTTGCCTACCTGGTGCATTTCCCCAGGTCAAGTACATATGAAGAGCGTTGCCGAGATCTAACATACTTGCTGGTCCAGTTGAATGCAAGGACCATATGGAGTACCTCATGCCACTATGCTTCCTCATCCGCCGAAACATATCTCAGGGCAAGGCCACCACCGTTGGCAGTCGACATGATCCATTGAAAGATTCAAACATGAAATACAAAATTTTTCTATAACTTAGTATGAATCAAGACAAGACATTGATGTAAATCACCCCAATCGCCAAACTTTCCTATCAAAGCATTCCCGCCTAGATGTGTGAATCGTTGTCTTCGTCCGCTACCAGTCCTCTCTCTTGCCACTCGGTCCATCTCGCGAGGGGCAGAGAACAAGATGCATTGGATTCCAGCCTTAAGAAACTCGGGGAGACCACTGGAATAGGAGAGGCTTTTCGGTGGAAGCTCCGGCTGGGGGCTACGCACAGCGGCGCCCGGCAGCTCTCGATCGGTGGTGTCACCCTTTCAAACCCTTCTTCCTCTTCTCGTTGCGGAACAGGACGGCTGCTCCCCGAGTTTCGTTCCGTCTCTTAGTTCGCCTCACGCAAAGAACGATCACTCTCTTTGAAATCCATTTCGTTCCGTTCCACCAGCGCAGGTCATCCCAATGCTGTCTTGCCGTGCCTTCACCAAAGAACTCTATTCGTGCATGTCTACTGGGCATGTTCCTAACTCAACCAAAAATTCCCAGGGGAAGTAGGGGAAGGTGGTGTCATAGCTCGGCTGCGGCTATCCCATTTCCGTTTATAGGACGAGGCACTTGTGTGACTTCTTTTTAGGAGCAGGGGGCTCAAGTGCTGCAACGATAGCCTGTATAATGCGATCAGAACGTGTTTCAAGCAATGCTTATAGATGGGGAGAGTCTTCTAATCAGTAAAGACATACCTCGTCAAATACATCCTTGAGCTTATACTGGGTGAGAGCACTGCACTCAACGTACTTGACAGCACCCAGGTCCTTCGCCATTCGTTCACCATCCTCTCGTCGTACTGGTTGCATCTTTTGCTTTGACAGCTTCTCTCGAACACTAGGGTCGTCCCTCAAATCCACCTGGGTACCGACAATCAAACAGGGCACGCCGGGGCAGTGGTGGCGGACCTCGGGGAACCACTTCTCGCGGACGTTTTCGAAGGAAGCAGGCGAGGTGACGGAAAAGCAGACGAGGAAGACATCGGTCTGAGGATATGAAAGAGGCCGCAGTCTGTCATAATCTTCTTGACCAGCGGTATCGAACAACCCGAGAGTGTACGGCTCATCTCCTATCCTGTAAGTAATCAGCAACCCTTCTGTGACTGACCGAGTTGCCGTCCATCAAACATATCCGCAGATCGCCCCCTCTTATCACGGAATCCATCACACTGCTGAAGCCAGAAGTCGGTGATGGCTTTTCACGACTGAAGACGTTCATTGCAGGTGGGGAGACCCTGTGGGGGCGCTGGTGTCGATCGATAGGCGTGCAGGTAGACTCACATAACCGTAACTGCGTAGTTGTCGAAGACTGTAGGGACATATTCGGATGGAAACTTGTTTGTTGTGTAGCTGATGAGAAGACAGGTCTTTCCAACAGCACCGTCACCGACGACGACGCACCTACAAAAAAGGGGTAAACCGGATTAGCCTCAAGAACGATTGTTCGAATGGCGGACAGGGTAACGGGCATGCAGAGTAGATGCGCAGGCATGCTTAGGGTGCTTTGCCGTAGGACAATCTCGGTGTAGAGATAAAGCAAGCAAAGGGAAGCAAAGCATCGCATAGTATTGCGGCAGCACAAACCCAAGGGATGAAAACATACTTAATAGTTGCGACAACAGCCATTGTTCCTCACGAAAGCTCCTCGGTAGGAGCTCGTCTATGTTAAAGTGAAATGCAGGCGGTCGAGTGGTCAAGCTCTATTGGCGGGCGGATGCGCGCGACTACGACAAGAGAGCGGGGGGGTTGCGGAGCGGAGAAAGTCGAGTCCAAATAGGTGTCGGGGAGAACAGGTCGAAATAAGGATGATAAGTCGAGCGAAGGCGAATATGTTGGGGCTGTACTGTTTGATGGCGGATTGAGGTGGTTGAAGACAAGTCAAGATTGCGGTGGATGCGGCTTTCGGTAGGTCTAGGTAGCGGATTGGTATGGAGTTGCGTTGAGGTGCGCTTTGGTTTGGTTCGGTCTGATCTGGTCTGGTTTGGGTTCTGGATCTAGGCCAGCGAATGGGTGGAGGTGGAGAGCCTGGGAGTAACTGAGGAGGCTACCTATGACCGTCGACGGAAATTTGAAACCTGCAACAAGAGGTGAGCGGGAGTGTAAGACAGACAGACACGATTGATTGATTGATTGAGGTGCGACTAACTACCAGCAAGCAGGGAAAGGGTCCAGTCCAAGCAAAAAGAGAAGAGACACAGGCGCTGGCAAGAGTTAAAAAGAGAGGCACAGGCCTTGTACAGTGTGGTAGTGGGCCTCGATGAAGCAAAGCAGCAGCAGCAGCACAGATACCGCTGCAGAAAAGCAAGCCAGGCAGGAAACCAAGGCGAAGCAAAGTTGAGGTGAGGTGAGGTAAGGCAAGGCAAGGTAAGTAAGGCAAAGTAAAGCAAAGGGACCAACACCAGTAGCTAAGTAGGTAGCATTAGCCTGGAGGTACCGCTACCAGCACAAGGAAGGCAGCCTAGCCTAGCATGGGGCAGGCAGAGCAGAGCAGGGGATAGGAAATGGTATTAATACGGGGACGGGGAGAGAAGAGAGGGGGAGGTTGGAACGCTCAAAGCCAGGCCAGGCCAAGCCAGGCCAGCACCTCTCCCAGTTCCAGGTTTAGCCTAGACAGACAAGCTTGCATCCAATGGTAGGTCTAGTACTTTAACGTACAGCCAAGTACACCTGTGAGAACCGCCAGGTTAGCAGTACAGCAAAGTACCGCCTCTACTCCGTACTTGATGGGCTCTTAAACAAGCAAGCACCAAGTAAAAGAGGCCAGGCCGATGTGGATTGGGGAGGTGGATGCGTTACCAGTCTGAGTGGAGGGGACAAGCAAGGTACGACGAAGGGCAAAAGAAATGCACAATGTGCGTAAGGTTATAGTGCAGAGGAGAAAACAAAACAGAAAGGGGATAGAGTTATGATGCAGAGTCCAGAAGTTTCTTTCTGATTATCATTGAAATGGCCGAGTTGATGCGACTCTGATAGAAAGAGAGAGAGAGAGAGAGAGAGAGAGAGAGAGAGAGAGACCAACCTGTTAGTGATTAGGTTAGTAGGTACCTGTTGAAAGTACTGTAGCGATGCTGTGCGCTGTCTGGTCGGTACCGTTTACCGACTTCTTGATGCAAGCCCAAGATAAATAAGTACCTGGCCCAAGAAGAAGAAAAGTGAGTCGAGTCGATGATGAGATTGCAGTTGTTGACAACTGAAACCAACGGAGTATGTATGATAACGCAAAATCAATGTCAGACACAAGAAGCCGTAAGTTAGTACATAATATCCATGGAATGGAAATGAAGCAAGGCCTGGACTCTGGAGCGTCCGCCGATCAATGGATGGCAGGTGGCCAGGTCCAACGGCGTTGCGTACTGGAACTTGAACTCTTCAGGGCCTTTCTAGCGTCATCATCCCAAAGATACGGGACCGTACCAGTAAGAGGTAGCCCAGGTCTGCGTGCACCTCAGGGGAGGGTCCACTGTTAGTCATCAATACCCAGATACTTCCAACTACACATGTCGATGTCACAGGGTAAAGTAGCTCTTTATCAAACGGATATCTGGTTCATCAGCGTCATTCATTCAATGACGGCCTTATTATCCAGTATAACAACCATCCAGAGTATCACCCAGTTGCAAATATGAAACTTTCTAACTCAGGGACAAAATCTCTGGTCTTTGGCTTGGGAATTTGGGACAAAGGCCTGTCAGTCAGTCTTTTATTAACCATAACCATTACTTGCTTGGCCTTGGCCTTGACGCACTGCGCGAGAACCGTGCTGAATGGCGCAAACAGGGACCCTTTGTTGTTCACATTGACTTAAACTAGCTGCTATGTTAGTAGCAGCAGCAGAGGACGAATGCGATAATTGATAACGACACGAGGGTTGAGCCACCTGGCTCCAAGTGCTTGCATAAAGGACGAGAACCAAACCAAAGAAAAGTATGGGAATAGGGGTTAGAGAATGGGACGACGATCCGCTCGTCAGATCCGATTGTTCTCAGTGCGTGCGTTGCTTTGTTGTAAGGGTATGCTTGTCCCTTGACTTCGCTTCACTGGTGGTGTCGTATATCAGATCGTGACATGTCCGATTGGACTCATTCAGTTCCCGTCTGGTCTTGATTGCCTCGCCTTGCAAGTTGCAGCGCATTGAGAGCCCGTCTAGCCCGTCCATTTGGTGATCCAGAACGGGTCGGGGGGCTTTTTTGCAAGTAGCTCTCTCTGGTCCATGCCCTTGGCCCCCTAGGCCAAAGGTATATTAATATTCAAACTTCAAAGCTCTCGCTTAACAAGGGGATCTGCTTTACAAGCGTCGAGTGCTTTGATGCCAATGCAAATTGTGACACACGCGTGACCACTGGCCACTGCGGATTGACGAAGATCTTTGTGTGATATGTTTCAACCTCCTCTGGCTCGCTCTCGGAGATTCGAATAAAGAAACAAAACCCCTTCACCTAAGACGGCCACCGACTATTTTGAGTGCTGGGTGCGACGTTCCGAAGCAGGGAAACATCAACAAGAACAAAACATGTTTGTTGGCATCTGCCGAGTCTCTCGAGTCCCTGTTGCACTGCGACAATATGGTTAGTCCGAATATTATCATTACTCTCTGAGTCTGAGTTTCTGATAAACAACACAACAGCCCTGTGATAAACGGTGACTGGGGAGACACGCGCGGACACAAATCTCGGAATCACTCATCCCAGCACCCGCTCGCTAGTATAGGAACTTACCGACATCAACACTGAAGCTTCAGCCCAGGGATATTACTTTGACCAAGGGCTCCCTGCTCAAGTTTATGCAGTGGAGATCAGCCTCGTGAACTTGTCACATATTGTATGCCCTTAACAGACCTCCAGCTGCAGCTCTGCAGGCTCTGTCACGCCTGTCAATTTCAGCTTGACAATGCTCCTGTCGCAATCGCATGTTTGGGGCTCCAACTTATCAACATGGGACGAGGGGAATATGCAGCTTATCTGCCTGTCTCACCTGCACGAAGGCGCTTTCGTTAAATTGCATATTCTCATCATACGTGATTCAGACTGAGACATGAGCTGCGTTCAGCATGTTATCCATCGATCTGCGCGGTCTCGTGGCTTGAAGAGGGTTATCCAGCCCAATTATTTCCTTTTGCCGAGTTCGCTTCAGGTGATGTTTTGTGAGTCCCATCTCTGAATAATATCGATAAGCGTGGAATTTCCATAAACCCTTAATAGGATCGGATCGCCCTCTATATAAGAACCAATCTTTTTGCATTGCCAAGCTATCGTCGGCGTAGCATTCGGGGAACCTCAACGGGGAACAGCTGTGAAATGTATGTATATGTAGCTAGTATGCCACACTTTCACGCCACAGCCAATTAGTTGTCTCCCCTCTTTAACGTCAAGTGTTCTCGATGATTAGAGAAACGATGACATTATAAGCCTGTTCATGAAACCTCAAGATATGTCTACTTGGGAATTGAGGGCTTCGACAACTTTGCGCCATCAACTACAGCTTTTACAGACCATCAGAATGATCGTCAAGTAATCCGCGTCTGATTATATACAGATTTAAGTTAGGTTTTACTGTAGTTCGTTCCTTTGTGTAGAGTTTGGTCTTGGCCAAGCTAAGCATTAACTAAGAAGCCGTTGAAGCATAATTTGACCCTGCATCTCGGCCTGCCTCCCACATCTTTCTTCTGCTAGATCTACAACTAACGCAGTTTCTCTCTGCAGCTAAGCCTTGGTAATCAATAGCTTGTAGATACTCCGCATCTTCGGCAAACATCTCACCTTCAGAGTCAGAGTCATCACATTCATCACATCACAGTCTCGAGATGGCGCTAAACCCAAATGGAGAGTAACGGACCTGTCATCCGTCCATCATCGGGGCGCGAGATGTCCGCAATCCGGGGCGCCGTAAGTGGGTACGAAGATGTTGAAAAAGAGTCGGTTTGGATCCATCTTCCCAGACTTTGACCTCTCTTGAAATGATATGAACACTCGGGCCTGAAGAGTCCGCCAAACAAAGCACCGACTGTCAATTGCTGGCCATGGGGTTGCTAAGATGGCCTCACAAGGACAAGCCGCCGGTTCTGCTCAAGGTGCGGTCCTCGGCTGGTCTCATCGTCACCACATGTTCCTTTGCCATCTTCACTGTAAGTCGCCAGTTGCTCTTCAGCTCTGACAAGCCAATTGAATAATATGGCCCTAGGACATCTTTCTGTATGGTGTTATCGTTCCCATACTTCCATTCTCTCTTCAGGATCGAATTGGTATCCGCACAAACCGGGTGCAGTACTGGGTCTCCATAGCATTGGCCGTGTTTGGTGCTGCACTCTTGGCTGGCTCTCGTATGTGCACAGTCCTCACTTGAAGTGGTAGTATATAACTTATGGTGACTATATCAGCCGTCTGGGGTTATCTGGCCGACCGAATCCACAACCGCCGGATGCCTATGCTTATAGGACTTATTGTACTGTGTGGTGCTACTGTTTTCCTATGCGTAGGTCGCACGCTTGCTCTCTTCATGATCGGCCGTGCTCTGCAAGGAATATCTGCCGCACTAACATGGACTGTCGGTCTTGCGCTTGTCGTCGATACTGTCGACAAGGAGCATATCGGCAAAGCCATGGGTTGGATTAGCACAGCTTGCAGTCTGGGCATCTTGGTTGCACCTCTACTGGGAGGTCTCGTATATGGAAAGGGAGGTTACTACTCCGTTTTCGCCATGTGCTTTGGCCTTCTCGCCGTTGACATTGCCTTGCGTCTCATCATCATCGAGGTCAAGGATGCCAAAAGGTGGCTTGATTGGGCGGAACCTATAACCGTGGCAGACCCAGAAGGTGCCGTGACGGAGGAACCAAATATCGAGAAGAACAAAGACAACATCGCTCATCAAACAGATGGGCAGGCCAAGGACGTATCAGACCCATCACGATCACCTATCAAGACACTCGTTAAGCTCCTGGGGCAGCCTCGATTCCTGGCAGCTCTGTGGGGAACCTTCGTTCAGGCACTTATCAACACGGCGCTCGAAAGTACTCTTCCCCTTCTCACACACGACATATTTGGCTGGGACTCGATTGGGGCAGGACTGATATTCCTCCCGGTCATTCTGCCATCATTTCTGGGACCTGTGGTTGGCATGGTTGGCGATCGATACGGGCCTAAGTGGCTCGCTTCGTTCGGCTTCCTCTTCGCCACACCATTTGTCGTATGTCTGAGGTTCGTCGACGAGAATACGATTCAAGACAAGATCCTTCTCTGCGGGCTCTTGGCTGGTGTGGGCATCACAACCGCGTGCATCTTCGGGCCCCTGATGGCTGAGATCACTTGGTCCGTCCAGGGCAAGGACGGGAATGAAGGTGCGGGGCAGATTGCTCAAGCGTATGGCCTCTACAACATGGCATACTCGGGAGGATCTCTGGTAGGACCTATAATGGGCGGAATGGTCAAGGACAGCGCTGGTTGGGCAACTGTCGGATGGAGTCTGGGTATAGTAGTGTTCGTGTCCGCCATTCCAACTGTTTTGTATACGGGCGGGCCACTGAAGGTCAAGAAGCTTAGAGGTTGGGGGAGACAAAACTCGGCTGAAGCCTAAATAATCCACAAACAGAATACAATTATTGTAGGTTCAAGATTGAGGCTACATATATTAGTACCTTACCTATATATAAAAGTATACGTAGTCCTCGACTGCCCGAATTGGATGTCTCGGACACCGCGGGCGACATCAATGGAAGCTAAGCCTAAAGGGAACAGCTGTTCATTTAGGTTCCATCCATGGCAGGCAGCTTCAATATTGCACAGTCAGACTCATGATGATTTAATCAATCTTCTCTCGACAACATTATCTGGACTTCGTTTTTCTTGTTGATATACTTGCATCGGAATTCTGTGATTCACTTTCTGCAAAACGTAAAACCTGATTATCGTCGTTATTCTACTTCTATTATCCCAAATTCTCGTGCGTTTCCCAGAAACAAGCACTCTTTATACATAATCACACATCATGGAGGAGCAGCAACAAATTGATGAGCTCCTTGAACGCTATCTCAGCCTGCTGGACGAATACAGCCGACTCCGCCAGAGTCTATCTCGGATCCAATCTGATGTCTTTCACAATATCGCCCGCGCTAATTTCGCCGGCGAGAGAGGCATGAGGTACGGTCAAGATCACTACGATGAACGGATGCAAGCAACACGCCTTCTTGCTATTGAGCAGGATGCTAGCCAGAGCCCAACATTCTCAATCTCTCCTGTTCCCGAAGAAGATAATGTAGCACATAAGGAAGAAACCTCCTCAGCTGAGAAGTCTGATGATGCATCAACAACAGAGGCCAAAGAAGCCAGCAGCCCTGAAGAAAAGAAGCGAAAACAGAACAGGAACCCTCTACAATGGTTTGGGCTATTCGCGCCTATGCCTCTCCGAACGGCACAAACACATTCCGTGAAAGCAGTAGAGGAAGTTATCCCAAGGCTTGTTTCTGTCAACGCTGAAATGCTGCATGTGGAAATTGAGGTGCGACGAGCGAGGAAACGACGTGCTAAAGCGGAGGCAGCTGAAAAGAAGACAGGCCAAACTGCCGGAGCGACGCAGCCACAGAGCACAGCAGTTTGAACGCCTTCATATTGATACTACATCTGCCATATATGGTCATGCTCGGGTACATCAACTATTCCCAGTGCCCCCACAGGTTGTTTAGACTCTCGGCCAGAGTCGGATGAGCATAAACAGCTGCTTCCAAATCCCACCACTTCAAATTACCCATCATAGCAGTTTGTACAATCGACATGATTTCACCACCTTCCAAACCCAAACATGTGAACCCCAAGATCTCACCGGTTTTTGCATCCACAGTCGCCTTCATCATACCACGTGGCTCTGCTGTCTCCAGCGCCCTTGCAACATAACTCATAGGCATCGTGGCAGTCTTCACTTCCCTTGAACTGTTGGCGAGGTCTCTAGCGTGGAGCCCAACATGGCCAAGCTGTGGGTCGGTGTACATGACATAAGGAGTCAGAACTCGTGAGATCGACGCCTTTGTCGTAGGCATGGCTGGAGTTGTGGATGACATAGCTTCTGGAATGAGGTTGGTGCGGATAATGCGGGAATCATCGTAGGACATGTGTGTGAAAGCAGCACCTCCGTGGCAGTCTCCTATGGCGTAGATATCTGAAGCCGTGCTCTGGAGTTTGTCGTCGACAATAATGTGGCCTCTAGGAGTCGTCTTGATGCCAACTTTGGAGAGGTTTAGGCTATCTGTGTTGGGCACTCGGCCTGTTGCCAGCAGAAGATGTGTTCCGGAAACTTCTGTCTCCCCTCCTGGGGTCTTGATGCTCACTGCGAAAGGTGTCTTTGTGTCCTTGGCAGCTGAGATCGAGCTCACTGTGCTCGAAAGATGAACCGTGATTCCATCCTGTTGAAGGATATCCAGGAGACACTTCGCCACGTCAGTGTCTTCTCGGGGCACAAGCTGCTTGGCCCTTTGAATAACAGTCACTTCAGAGCCCAAGCGGCGAAAGAGCTGCCCAAACTCAAGGCCGATATACCCGCCGCCCAACACAACAAGACGCTGTGGAACCTCACCCAGTTCCATGATAGTAGTCGAGTTGAGTACTCGTGCTGGGTCAACATCGTCGAGACCTTTGATATCTGGCCTCAGTGGCCTCTCACCGACGTTGATGAAAATCTGATCGGCGCTGACCTCTTTCTCGCCTCCATTGCTCAACAAAACTTTAAATTTCTTCTCACCAACAAAGCTACCATCGCCCATGATCACATCGACACCTGCTGCATTCAAACCTCTGACACTGCCGGCGTTCCACTGCTCCACGATTTCGCGCTTGCGCTGCCTTACCCGAGCCATGTCGATCTCAACCTTACCGTTTCCTCCGTGTACACCATAGTCTTTACCACGTTTGGCCATGTAGGCTGCTCTTCCAGAGGCGATCATGGTCTTTGTAGGCGTGCATCCCACGTTGACGCAAGTGCCGCCCAGAGCCGTGCGCTCAATCACGGCCGTTTTGCGACCAGCATTGGCGAAGGCTTTGGCGACTGGGTTGCCACTCTGACCGGAGCCGAGGACGATAACGTCGTAGCGGGTAGCCATTGTATGAAGATGTTGGCGCTTGAGAAACTGACTGATGGAAGTTGGACGCGATAGGCCAACGAGACGATTCATGAACAAAGATTATCAATTGAGATTCGATTCCATCAGGACTTAGAGACCAGCTAAATAGAGTGTATAGATAGAAGCCTCTTATACGAGGCACCGTCGTTCAACGCCATGTAAGCGGGTGGCTTATTCATCTCTTACAACGCAACGCCCAAGTTTCGTCAGCGTGACTGATGAAGTTACTGTTGGCCAAAGGGGATGCCGCAGTCTCGTGAGGGGTAGGACAGAACACCATGATGTACTTAACCGCTTGACGTATTGACATAAGCACTATCTATTCCACATAACATTTAGCTCTGAGCGTTGTGTCAAGATTAGACCACCCGAAAAGCTACCCCGTAGTTGTCATCATTCCTGCGTTAACGAACCCAATGTAGCGAGAACATCTTCTAACATTTCCCTCTCCGGGTTATCATGGTTGACTTGCTTAGCAAGTTGAGACGCAATCCCATGGATAGCAGCAATAGAATGCTTGTATCTCTGCCGCATGCCCCGGTTCGCCACCCCCAGCACCGAACAGCAAAGTTGCAAAGAGGAGATTACTGCCTCCTGTACCTGGGGTGATAGCTCTGAATCAGGGATATCCCATGCTGCTACTGAAGTGATGAGATCCATCCAAGCTTCAGGAACACCATTGGATTCTTGCTCAACTATTGGAAGTAGAATTCGAACGATGTCTGTAGCCCGAGCGGCCTCCTGCTCTCCGCAAGTCCGTGAGGCATGCTGCAGGATAGAGTTCAGATCGTGAGTAAGAATTATCCAACCTTCGTTGGCGAGCAACAGCTCGCGACCTTGGGGTAGCGTAGTCACACCCTCTAGAGCCACGAGGACAGGAGATCGGAAGTCGAGTTTATGTTGAGAGCTGGATTTGTAAAGATCCATAAACATATCCATTAAACCAGTAGCCTCCTTCCGCAGGATATCATTCTCCTCTTCCCGCAGCCAGAGCGCCAATGCTCGCACAGCTGAAAGTATGAACATATCATCGTCAGCGTTATCTCTCATTGAGTCCCAAGCGAGCGTGTGGTGGGCTCCAGTTGATGTATCTGTCGTGCCAGTTCGAGCGTCTGGATGTAGTCCCATGGCTCCGGCAACAGAAGCATCCCATCGATCGCGAAGATACTCCGCTGTGAGCGACATTGTCTCGGAAATGCCCTTACGAAGCTTAAGGAGGTTCTCGGGGGTCATGAAGAAGGTTTCTATGGACTCATCTTCCAAACACTGCACGAGGTATCCAATGAAGATTGAGATGACGTCGAATGCAGAAGTGAGGCGTGTTGAGATTTTGGGATACTCGGGCTTGTTTAGCTGTTCTAGAAGAGTGGGAGCCGAAGAGCGAATATCGATGAGTAGGAGGTTGATGAGTAGGTATGAGAAGGCCTTGTCATCCTTTTTGTCATCGATAAACACCAACTTTGGTGCCTCGGACGGGAAAGCTTGGAGTATCGAGGCTGTGGCATTGGTATATGCCGCTCGGGCTTCAGGTGCTGGCCTACTTGTGACGAGGTTTTGAACATAGATAACGACTGCCTTGAGCCACCTGGGATGCTGAGGAAGGATCTGGAGCAAATTGGTTAGATGATTCTCTTGGAGAAGGCGTGGAAAACGCACAGAAGAGTTGGCATGCCGAAGAAAGTAACCAAGGAACTCTAGAAGCGTGACAGCATCAGTTCCAGTGAATGACGAGACTAGACTCTGAATCGTGTCGTCAATCTGCCTCGCCAGCGTCGCGGGATCTTCAGTGGTTGTCATGGAATTGAGCCATGCAAAGCAAAAGATGTCCAGAACCTGTGCATGGCTAGGAGCAATCTCGGTAAGGGAGCTAAAGTCTTCCACCTTGATAAACTCTTGTGCTCCTTGCTGTGAGCTTGCTAGTGTATGTAGCAGTTGAAGTATTAGCCTTGTGGTATCTTCAGAGCTGAGACAGTCATTAGTTTGCTGGTTTGGCCTTCCGAGGCTTCATACCTGTAGAGAACTGCATTGACGAGCAAGGGGATCCTGTTGATGAATTTGGCATCACTCTTGGCCTGGTCGGGAAGAAGAATGGAGAAAATGTACAGGACAGATACAGCCAAATCCAACATGTCTTTTGAATTCTGGGTCGAAGGCTTTGAGCCTGTGCGCAGTAGTCGGTCGAGGAACTTGGGTGAGAGACTGGACCATAGGCCCTGAACTGTTTGCTCATCTTGGCGGAGTTGTTCTGAGGTGTCGAGAAGAGATTTTAGGAGGGCCAGTCCAACAAATCTTTGGGTATCATCTTTGGCCTTGAGAAGTGACTGTATCTTGTTGATGTCTGTAGGTTGAGAAGCAGTACTTGTTGTATTCTCAGCCATCTTGGTCTCTACCTATTTTGTAGTAATGAGTTGAGTTCGAAATACCGACTGAGCTGTAGTTTCCGTACGTCGACTGCAACAAGATCGAGTTTCTTGATGAAGATGAAGACTTGGTTGTATATGAGAATAGTTGCTAACTACCTAAGATGAGAAGAGCACATGTACATGTAAGGTCAATATTAATGGACTTGACTTGCAACAACTCTGTTGGGTCCCACTATTCTATAAATTCCCCTCCGTGCCTTGGTAGATGAATGAATTCTAGAAACCTCCAACATTTAGACCATAGAAGGGGCCATATGAACGAATTTATTTTGACGATAAATAAATCCTAATTATCACCGAGACCTGAGCATATCGTTTCGTAGTATCATATACTGCTAGTCTATTGTGAATCTTGCATAAATAAGTGTTTCAAGGCAAGGACAATGAAAGCCAAGATCTTCGCGAGACCAGGAAATTGGTTTAGGTAGTAATTAAACTTGAGCCTCAAAAATGCAACTCGAGACAATAATAGCCCAGAATGTTTCAATATTTCTTGAGACTCTTGCTTGTCTCAGCTATAAACAACCTAAACCACCCGACACCATCTAAGTTACTGATGCATTGGATCCAATGTTTTCAGCTGGTCGAGTCGACGTTTTAGGCAATACAAACCCTACAACAGCCAACCAGACCAACTGTAGCCATTCCGTGTCCTCCACTGAACTCTCCGAGTCAATAGCGCACTTGAAATGGACACCAACAACCTCGTATCTAACTTTATCTCGACTCTCCCTTTCAAACCTCTCACAAACCAAAGACTCTGTGCCAGCTGTGAGCTCTTACACCGCATGATCACAATGTCATGAGCCGCATCATGTCTGGAGCGTCTCAAAACGACCCCTACGCCTTCGCTTCCGCTTCTGCCTCTGCTTCCGCCGCTTCGTCCTCATCGCATACTCCAAACTCCAATGCCGACGATCGCGACGAGCTCGATTTCCTTCACGACGACGCCAGCGATGACAGCGGCCGGGGAAGGTCTCGCGACCGAGATCATGTGCTCGGCGACGATCCGCTTCAGAGCAATCTGGGTGCGCCCATGACCTTTAAACGCAGACAGGGGCCCTCGTTCTGGTCTGCGCCCTCTCGACTTCTCTCCGCCATCACAGGTTCACGACCGCATGCCTCCTCGAGAGGACCGTCTCCAGCTGTTTATCCAAGCTCTAATACCCCCCCGCGCCCTGAGACTGTCATATTCAACGAAGCTTCCAAGGATGGTGTGCCACATGATTGGTATGTCGAGGGACCAGGGCGTCGAGTCGGTTACGAGGATCTTACGGCCATCGATTGGATCTTCGAATACACAAAAGAGCGCCAGAGGTTGCGCATGCTATACTCGAGTGCGTCTGGGGTTATAGGTTATGTGCGACGCCTCATTGATGCCAGCCAAGTCTGGATCGTCCTGCTCTTGACGGGTATGCTTGTAGGCACTGTTGCTGCTGTCATCAACGTCACGACCGATTGGCTTGGAGATTTGAAGGAAGGATACTGCGCCAGTGGTCCAGAGGGAGGTCATTTTTACCTAAACAAGGCCTTCTGCTGTTATGGCTATGACCAAGGCTCCAAATGCGACGGTTGGAAGACTTGGGGCGACGCCCTGGGAGTCCATTCAAAAGGTGGCAAGTGGTTCGTCGAGTATTTCTTCTTCATTTCTTTCGCGGTATGTACACTCGACGGAACCCCGTAGCTTCTAATACCTCATATGGCTAACAATTGGAAGATGCTGTTTGCATATGTCGCAGCCCTTCTCGTCCAAGAATATGCCATCTACGCAAAACACAGTGGTATTCCAGAAATCAAGACTGTTCTGGGGGGCTTCGTTATTCGACGGTTCCTTGGACTCTGGACACTCATCATCAAGTCTCTTGGTCTTGTTAGTCAAGTCAAGCCTATACTGCTTTACCAGCTCGTTGCTGACACCATCACAGGCTCTTGCTGTTGCATCAGGCATGTGGTTGGGCAAAGAAGGCCCCCTAATTCATGTTGCTTGCTGTTGCGCCAACGTATTTACGAAATTGTTCCGCAACATCAATGACAATGAAGGTAGAGAGCTTCCCTATGATGCAGTCGGTTTTCATCAGCTAACGCTATTAGCCCGCAAACGTGAGGTTCTTTCGGCTGCTGCCGCTTCAGGTGTCTCAGTTGCATTTGGTTCCCCCATCGGTGGTGTCTTATTCAGTCTCGAGGTCAGTTATGCTTAGCCCCAGGCTTACAACCAACACTAACATACCAACTCTTTACAGACTTTGTCTTATTACTTTCCAGACAAGACGATGTGGCAGAGCTTTGTCTGTGCCATGACTGCTGCAGTCGTTCTTCAGGCTTTCGACCCCTTTCGATCTGGCAAGCTTGTCTTGTATCAGGTTCACTACAGCATTGGATGGCATGGCTTCGAGCTGCTCCCCTACGCCATACTAGGCGTCATGGGTGTAAGTCCAACATCAAGTACGGACAGAACAAGTAACTAACAGTGTTTCCTCTCCAGGGCATACATGGCGGTCTCTTCATAAGACTCAACATGGCTATTGCTCGGTGGAAGAAATCGAACCGATGGATTCCAGGCCCTATCGTCCAAGTTCTCATCGTGGCCTTCTTCACAGCCCTCATCAACTACCCCAACTTCTACATGAAGGTGCAGACGACTGAGCTCGTCTCCAACCTCTTTTCAGAATGCTCACAGGTTCTTGACGACCCCATCGGCCTCTGTAGAACAGGAGCTGCTTCGGCCAGGACCATTGTTCTCCTAGTCTTTGCATCTGTATTGGGCTTCTTCCTCGCCGCTGTCACATTCGGTCTCCAGATTCCCGCCGGAATCATTCTCCCTTCTATGGCCATAGGTGCCTTGACAGGCCGCGCTGTCGGTATCATCATGGAGATTTGGGTTACCAATCACCCTGGATTCTTCTTATTTGGCTCATGCGAACCTGATATACCCTGCGTCACACCAGGGACATACGCCATCGTCGGAGCAGCAGCATCTCTTGCTGGAGTAACCCGCTTGACCGTCTCTATTGTCGTCATCATGTTTGAGCTCACGGGCGCCCTCACCTATGTTCTCCCCATTATGATCGCTGTCATGATATCAAAGTGGGTGGGCGATGCTTTCTCTCGTCGCGGTATCTACGAATCGTGGATTCACTTCAACGAGTATCCCTTTCTCGACAATAGTGAGAACAACGAATCTATTCCTGACATCCCAGCTTCTCAAGTCATGACTCGCATCGAGGATCTTGTAGTTCTTACTGCCACAGGTCACACCATCGCATCTCTCGCCACTATCCTCGAGATGCACCCATACCGCGGTTTCCCTGTCATATCAGATCCCCGAGAAGCCATTCTTCTTGGATATATCTCTCGTGCCGAGCTGGCATATAATCTCTCGGCCTCAACGCAAGCGCCTCGTTTGCTGCCCCCTGAGACTGAAGCCTTTTTCTCTCACCAGCCCATGGCAGATCCACGTACGACCCTGGATCTTCGCCCCTGGATGGACCAAACACCGCTTACCCGGGCTTCGCATACAAGTCTTCACCTTGTCGCTACATATTTCCAAAAGCTCGGCCTGAGATATCTTCTCTTCAGCGATCGCGGTGTTCTACAGGGCTTGTTGACGAAGAAGGACGTCTGGTATGTCCTCAATGGTGCCGAAGAGACACGCCGCACTATGGGTCTGGCACCCGGCGGTGCTAGTCATGAGACTGGCGTTACAGACAGGATAGCAGATGACAATGGCGGCGGTGAAAGTAGTGGATTATTACAAGGCGATGGTGCCGATGATGGGGATAGCATACAAGGGGAAGAACCAATGTTATAAAAGGAGCCTGTAGATTTAATGCTGGGTCATATATGATTGATCGTGGGTATATTGGTTTTGATCATATAGACGGGTTTGCTATTCTTGATAGGCTATCAATATATCTATATATATATCTGTGTGTTCGCAATTCCACGCTTCGTCCAAATCTATCCCGAAATATTACTAACTTCTCCTCAGTCTCCAAAATGAACCATTATTATGTGATATCATGCGCTTCGGGCTTTATTACGAGATGTGCTTATCTCTTGTAGCATCATATGCCAAGGGAGAACAGTATACTTAAGATAGGCCCAGTGCATCTAAATAACTTGTAGCTAAGCTTCGTAAATCTGTTCTCTATTCCCTAAAGCATAACAGACATTATTCAGCTCGCCAAAAGTGTTACCCTTATTTGCAACCAAAAACTACACGCCAGGACACAAGACACTAGATGATACCTGAGTACTGGTCGTAAAATTGCTTGAATTATCATGAAGTAATGTTCAGGTCAATATTGCCCCTAATTTTTCCGTCAAGGTGCAACTCCCATGCTTGATTGCAATCCTGATATAGTATGAGACCAACGCCGGAGCAGCAACATACCAGCCGATGCATAAACTTCTCCTCTGAGAAAGCCAAAGAGAACAACATTAAATCTAATACTCAAAGTCATCGTCAACAGAGGGACCCTTGTTCTTTGTCACGCTCTCCTGTTTGCGATACATTTCAGCAACCTGGCGACTTGTCGTGGCAGCATCAGCTTTCTTATCATCTCGCACACGGATGAAGCGAGGGAATCGAAGGCTGATGCCCTTGTTTCCTGACGGGTCGACACCTTCCTTAGCACTGGCCTTGTACCGTGGACTGAGGGTCAAATCGGCTGTCTTGACTTCCCAGACATACCGAGGCTCAAACCAGACATCAGGTTGGTGTTGACCGCCAGGAGAGTGGGAGTAAAAAGGCTTAGGCCTGTCAATGGTAATCTCAGAGAGTTGGGTGTGGAGATCCTCCAAGACCTGCTCTGAGAAGCCAGTTCCAATATTGCACACAGTTTCGTATGTCTCCGAGTTGGGGTTGTAACAGGCCAGAAGGAATGCACCGTAAACAGATGTACGTTTGCCTTTGCCGTAGTATGCGCCCAAAACAACAAGATCCAGTGAATCACCGACGCCGGAGAGGTAATCCTTCTTGATCTATGATAGCAGTCAGTCATACAGATTCTAGTAATGCAGTTTCCAAGTCTTACCTTGAGCCAGTTTCGACTTCGCTTACTGGGCTCATATCCACTCTCAGTTCCATCCAGCATTTTGACCATCAGACCCTCGCATGATGCCTTGACACTTTCGTCGAGGAAAACCTGGATCTCATCCAGTTCTTGGCCATTCATGTGCGTAGCGAAGGAAAACTCGCCTTCTACAGGATTAAACGCGGTTTCGAGAAGCTCACGTCGTTCACGCAGTGCCTTTTCAACAACAGCCTCTCCATTGAGGTACAAGAGATCAAATGCAAATACGCAAACCTTGACCTTGACATCCTCAACCTTGACATCCTTCTTCTTGCGTGTCATGAGTTGCTGGAAGGGCAGCACTTTCTTCTCATCAACATCCCAAGCCACTGTCTCACAATCCAGGACAAAGCTCTTGGTATCCGGCTTGACCCAGGTATGGAGTTTGGCAAGGATATCGGGATACTTTCGGGAGAGATCTTCAGAGTTTCTGGAAAAGATGCTAGCAACACCAGCAGCAGCCTCCTTGGCGGCGCCTTGACTCGCTTCGCTTAGTTCTTGGGGTGCATCCTTTGCCACATAATGGATTTGTGCTCTTTCGCCATCATACTTATACTCACAGGTGAAGGTTTGTCCTTCGAAGCGATCGAGTACTTCAGTAATGGCCTTAGTTGGCTTGGCCAGCATAGGCTTCAAAGGTACACCAGGTCGGAGCTTGCAATTTTCTCGAAGCTTCATGATCCCGTGTTCTAGCATTGCAGGAATAATCACGTCGTAGCTCGGAAGTTCACTGTATTTTGTGAGTACGTATCATCAACAGTGGTCCACGTGGCTTACCTGTAGACAGTCTTGAGAATTGATTCACCCTTCTCAAGATCCGAGGTGCTAGGGACCTTACCCTTGGCATCTGCTTCGTGGGCAACAATAGCTTGCGCCAAAGAAACAAGAACGGTTCTCTCAGCCAGACCAAGTCTCAACTTTCCTTCCAGGAATCGAATGATAAATTTGGCTTCACTGGGACCTCCCTTGTCCTTGGTAATATCGACTTTACCGGTGGAGTTGGCATCAGCTGCAGCAAGAAGCTTCTTGATACCATCCACCTTGCGCCCCTGAGCACCGTTGCCAGTGACAGTGGCGATATTCATTAGGCCTTGATGCACACCCCTGATAGTCAAAGCCTTGGGCTTGAACATAGTGCGCTGAGTTGATCGACTCTTTACAGCCACCAGTCCAAGATCACCAATTTCTTTCTGATCAGCCTTAATCACCTGGAGACTTCGCCCGGTCGTCTCGCCGATAGCCTTCATGATCAACGACTCGCCGATACCAAGCTCGATGCCAGCGTAGTCAGGAGCCAATTTGTTGATCATTAATAAGACTGTAGGTAATAGATCCTCAGGGGTCAGGCGCATGACCTGGCGAAGGAACAGAGAACAGTGCTCCATGATAATTAATCTTTTGGTGGTCATTTCCACAAGAGAGAAAGTTGTACACAGGGCCGCATACGGAACAGGGGTGCCGGGCTTCCAGTCAGGATAGGGGTCTTTCGTCTTGGACTTGAACTTTGTCTGGACCTTCTCGCGAGCCTTGGCAGCAACCTCAGGCTTATCATCGACATCTGCCTCGTCGTCAAGCTCGGCTTCTGAAGCTGAAGCTGTCGATGCCTCTTCTTTGGCAGAATCGTCGTTCTCCTCGGGAGTTGGTTCTTTGGCCGCCTTCGCTTTGGGGGTTGCCTTTGACCTCTTGGGCGACTTGACTTTTGGGGGTATGCTTGCGACATTTGACTTCTTGGGGGATGCATGTGTCTCCTTCTTGACGATTTCTTCAGTCATCTCCTCGTCATCTTCCTCAATTCGCTTTCGACTTCGTCGTGCTCGCTTGGTGACAGGTCCATCACTCTCGTCATCGACTTCCTCTTTCTTAATGGGCGTAGGCTCGGGTTTGGGCTTGTCTTCTGACCTTGCTCGCTTCTTTGTTTCTGATCCATATTTAGAATACCTTAGGATTTCAAGGAAGTAGCAAAATACCTTTCTCAGAATCGGAGCCTGATTTGACCTTCATGTCAGCCTCCTCTTCGTTCTTCACTTCTTCTTTTTTGGGTTTGCTGCTGAAGGAGAGCTTTGTCTGTTGGGGAGGCGCACCTTTTGCCCCAAAGAACTTCCTGTAGTTAGCAATTGGCCTTGGTCAGTGATCGAGTCTTTAGATTCTAGTTGTCCCTCCACACACCCGATTGTGCTCTGTCCGGACTTGACATACCCGAGTGTCGCCTGTTTTGGGGCCATGATGCCTGGGATTGATGTGAAAAACAAACGAAACGAGCACAAAGAGTAACGGTTTACAGGTCGTGATGATAATCTGGAAGTGTTTTGTAAAAAGAGAGGGGCAATTGTGAGCCCGCGAGTTGACCTGACACTGAGTAGCATGACGCGCCCGCTAGGCAACCTGTCGCGTTAATTAGCTACCATTCGCGAGGGTAGGTGCGACCAGAACGCGCGAGATGCCTGCTCCACGTGACTCGGTTGCCTAGTAAGGCAGGACGTGCACCCGGCTATTCCCATGTTCGGTAAGGCGTCGATCAAATTTATTAGCGCGCGTTAATTAATTGTTAGAGGGGTCCCCTGCAAGCTCTTGTTGTCTGTCTCGGGGGAGATAGGCCGAGACCTCGCCAAATATTATGATATTGGATGATTTCTTTCGTTATTGGCTCTAACTCTGAGAAAGACGTTGATATAAAACCACAGCAGGACAAAGAGACATCCATGAGTAACACGAAAAAAGCAATCCTGGGTCCTCGCCCTTCTCCATTTTCGGACCATGCCAGGCCTCTTTCTAGATAGATCATGGATGTATATTACAGCAAGCAACAAGTGCTCAAATCATTATGGTGGTACGGCCTCGCGCTCAATTCCTCTACTGGAAGTAGTGGTTCTCCTCGGGAATACGGCCACGGATGTACTCGGGCTCGGATCCACGAACGTAGATATCCTCAAACAGAATCTCAGGCTTGGGCTCAGGAGCGGCCATGGCCTCAGCAGCAGCAACCTCCTCGTTAACGTGGGCACGAGCCTCCTTGTCAATCTTCTTGAGCTCCTCCTCACTTGTGATCTCCCAGTCCAGAATCTTCTGCTTGAGTCCAGCAATGGGATCGTTGGTGGATCGCATGCGCTGAATCTCCTCACGGGTTCGGTAGGTGGTACCGGGATCAGACATGGAGTGACCTCCATAGCGGTAGGTGACGTACTCGAGGACGAGAGGCCCCTTGTCGGCAGCAGTCCACTCCTTGCCGTACTTAACGGCGGCCTTGACGGCAAGAACATCCATACCGTTGACCTTCAGACCGGGGATGTACTGTCCACGCTTGTAGTAGTCGGTCAAAGCGGAAGAACGAGCAGCAGCGGTACCCATACCGTATTTGTTGTCTGTGGAGTTGTCAGTAGTGCTCTGGCTCGTTCTTATGATATTGACTTACTCTCGCAGCCAAAGAGGGCAGGAAGGTTCCAGAGCTTGGCCATGTTGAAAGCCTCAAAGACCTGACCCTGGTTGCTAGCACCATCACCATAGAGGATAATAGAAGCGTTCTTGTTGCCATTGTACTTGTGAGCAAAGGCAAGGCCGGCACCAACGGGAACCTGAGCACCGACGATACCGTTACCGCCGTAGAAGCTCTTAGCGAACATGTGCATGGAACCACCCTTGCCATAGGAGATACCCTCACGTCGGCCAAGCAGCTCACCAATGATGGATCGAACGGTAGCACCACGCATCAAGGCATAGCCGTGGCATCGGTAAGCGGTGATAATATCGTCCTCCTTGGTGATGGCATGCTCAATACCAACGGCAACAGCCTCCTGTCCGGTAGACAAGTGGCAGAAACCACGAATCTTCTTCTCCTTGTACAGACGATCGGCCGCCATCTCCATCTGTCTGCGGGATTATCAGTAAATGCCGTATTGAGATCGTGGGGGATGGTGTTGCATACCGGGTGATGACCATCTCGCGGTACATGTCCTTCAACTCCTTCTTGGTCACCTCCAGGGTGTAAGGAGGGGGGTCCAGCTCGTAGGTCTCGAAGCTCTCATCGCTGAGGTTAACAGAGAAAGGCTCGTCATCGGACTGCAGCAGTCGAAGAGTTAGTGATGATTCGTGGGCGCATTGCGGAGGGCGAGGTGTCGGGCGAGGGTATTCCGAAGGACCCTTGCGGGACGGAAAGTGCGCATTTTCTCACCTTGGGGACTGAGTGGCTCAGGGACGCCGAAGCGGCATCAGTGGTGACAGAGCGAATGGCAGTGAAAGCGGGAGCGGCGAACTTGGTGCGCATAGGCACAGCCCTGGGGAGACGGAGAGCTCGAGACAACATCGTGGATATGGAGAATTGAGCTGAGGGATCAGGACGTTGTCGAGTTGATAACTGCGACTTGGCTGGATGGAGCTCAGAAAAAGTCGCTGTTGAGCGGCAGAGCGTTGAGCTTGGTTTCCAATTGTTGGTAGGTCTAGTCCTGAATAGGCTTAGCAGTCACGTGATATATACATGCTGACCTTCTCTTTGAATGCCTCCAGACAGTCCAATTGGAGAGATAATCTTCTCCGAGGACATATATACATCGACGATGTTTGATAGATGTCCCTAGACGTCTTCCGATTATCAAAAGACCACCTCTTGACCATCTTTCTGCTCCATACAAGACTGTCTAAGTGACACACCACTTCGTCGGTGTAATTCTCGCCGATGTGGGGCTCTATCCACATCGTCCCTTCTACCTCCGAGCCACGACAAGAGGTTTTGCTGGTGGAGGTCAGAAGTCCCTTGCTGAGGTACATAAGGTACATTAGTACTTTCAGTCAGTCCCTGGAAATATTCGGGCTCAACGATTTGACCTCCCAGGAACGAAAACATGGCCCATGATGGCATTTTATCACTCATACCTACAGAGTAGCTCCGAAATGAAAGCAAGAAAACAAAGAATTGACAGGTTTTATTGGTGGAACCCAACATTACTGGGCTAATCTCTAATCGTTCTATACATGCGCTGTCGATGTGGTATTATGATGAAGATAACGATCAATGTCAAAAAACCAGAACGTTGACATCGACTTCTTATATAGTCCGAGCCGCCTTGAGATGCAACTCCGTATTCCGTTTCCGTGGCTCCAGTTTCCCATAACCCCTTGTTTCATGCTATCATACTCCCATGCAAATTCGCATAATCATCCGTCCATAACTAACATATTCTGTGAACTGGTGGTGATGCAGCAACGCCCAAAACATGCTTTCAAAATCCCTTGGCGCCTCTACAACAATTCGAAGAAAGAGTATAGTGCAATGCAGTGCGGATGACCGGATCCGTCTTCGATACTAAATGTTGAATCCACAAAATCGGGTTACGCTGGAAACACTGGTGCTCGCCGATGTCATATCACAATGGCTGACGCAGGGCCATCGTTGACATCACCAAACTCCCAGCTCAGTCGTCATGAAAGAACGTACCGCCCTGCAGCGGGGCAGTTGAAGGGCCAGCGTCGTTCATCTCGACATCCTGGATTAAAGCGTCTTGGCTAGGACTGGCCAAAGTCTGTTGTGAAGTACGATAGTCGATAGCCATGGCGCTCAGTGGGCGATTCGGGTCATCCTCCAGTACACGCTGTTGAAGCGAGAGTGGTCGGTCATATAGCATATCTTCGGGTGGTGAGAACGACCACACCTATCAGAGTCAGTCTTAGAGCATTGTCGGCCCTCGTCCAATATCGACTTACCTCCATGACTGTACGACCGTGTCTCAGGGCCAACGCAACACACTTCTCATCTTCGAAGGCAACACGCCAGACAGCTTCACCTTGCGCGATGAGTTCGCGAACGAGATGTCCAGTTTTGAGGTCCCAGATCTTAACTCGACCATCACTGCCACCACTCACGACTCGAGTATCATCAAATTGCAGACTGGTGACGCTGTTATCGTGAGCTGCGAGACGGTGGATCGGACACATTTCTTTCAGTGACCAAACTCTAACCGATCCATCTGATCCACCAGTAACTAAGGTGTCACCGCGCATCTGAAGCTGTCCAACGAGGGATGTGTGACCCTGGAGAATAGCCAGGCACTCACTTCCGATTGTTAGTAGCTGTTATCTGTAGTTCGAAGAGAGACATACCCAGAAGTCGGATCCCAAATTCTCACGTTGGTATCCAGACTACCCGTCACGACTCGCTTACCATCAAACGCAATGGCATAAATTTGACTAAAATGGCCCTGTAACGTTTGAAGGCAACGGCCCTCGGAAATGCTCCAGACTCGAGCGAAAGTATCATAGCTACCGGATACGACAATGTCTCCCTTGATCTCGAGACAACGAACACTGGACTGATGGCCAACAAGAACGTTTTTGCAAAGACCGGTTCGGATATCCCAGATTCTTAGGGTGGTATCCCGGGATCCAGAAATTGCCGTGTTTGCATCGGCCATTTTCAAGCACCTGACTGTCGACGTGTGACCTCGCAAGGTGTGTAAACAGGCACTATATCCTGTCAGCAAATGATCGAGACTGATGATGGCTCTCAACTTACCCAGTCTTGAGGTTCCATACTCTCACATCGCGATCGCAGCCTCCACTGACCAGAGTATCATCCCAGGGCACCATGGCCCAGACACCCATAACATGTCCCTGCAGGGTGCGTTGCGAGTCTCCCTCAGTATCGAACACATGAATCTTGGCATTATCAAGTGCCACAATGATGTACTTGGGCGTCAGATGCAGGCTTGTGACGACACCCCCCTCTTGGGTAATATTCCGCGTTGTGCTAGTACCGCCGGATCGCCAAGCAGCTTCAACAAGATATCTCTGCTTGAAGTGGGACTTGTAAGTCCGTAACCTGGGTCGACCTGAGGCATTCGAGCCCTCGAACGATCGGGTCCCTGAGGCGTAGGAATAAGGGCGCGCGCCTGGGAAACTGCTGCTGCTGGCCATGTCGGCATCGAGTCCATGCAAAGCCAGTACTGATGGTCTTGATGAGAAACTAGGTGCATGTGTGTAGACCTCGGATAGTCGGCGGCCGTAGTCGTGTTTGACACATAGATTCTTCCATGTCATGTCGTCGCTAAGGAGATCTCGCCATCGTTTGGAAACTTGCGAGGCTCGTGCTAAAACTTTTGGGTCATCGATGAAAGATAATATCTGCACATGTGAGTAAGACCACCAAATCTAGGGGGAAAACGATTTAGGAATGATCCTTACCCGAAGACACAGTTCGTCTGGCAGACTTGTAAATGGGTCCTTTTTCAGTAAAGGGCTGACAAATTGGTGAACGAAACTCAATTGCTGGCTGGTACAGAGGTTCAACAGATCGGCGAGGACTCGAGTCCTCTGAGGACCAGAACAGTTTTTGAAGTGTTGTCGGACTTTTGCGAGAAAGAAGTCTTCGTCGTCAGCCGCATCACTCCAATCTGGTTGGAAGTGCGAAGGTCCCGGAGACGCAGCAGGTGTGGGAGGCGGTGGAGGTGAGCCAGTGAGTTGTTGATCAAAGTCCGCGGCGGGTGTAGACATGCTAGGAGTAGGAGGTCCACGCAAGTGCCGTTGCTGCTGAGGCAGCTTTTCCAAGCGGTGGTTAACCATGGGATTCGTCGATGTGCCGAGGGTCAAGTCGTCACTGAGGGCGCTTCCTCGTCTTTCGGAAAAACTCATGGGTCGTTGGTAGCCGGCCATGACCCGGGTCGTCGCCCTCCAAGATGTCGATGTTTGTTGGAATATAGACTTTGAAACGGTTTTTGAGGAGGATCAACAACTTCGGTTGATAGAGGTGGGTTACTTGAGTGACAACGGCGGCTGATATCGAGGGGAGGCCGACGATGGATCGTGAGTGGGGAAAACAGAAAAGCAAGCCGTACGAGGCCTCTGCCAACAATTCGAGGAGGATGTCAGCACATGTATAATGGAGCGGTTCGCTTATAATGGCGCAAAAGACTCGGTATAAGAATGTTGTGTTGGCTTTGAACAGAATTAGGTGCAGATATTGAAAAAAGGGAAAGGGTGCAGGAAGCAGAAACCAACGGTGAATGGCGATAGTCACTAGAGGATGAGATAGTGGAGAGAGCCGACGGACAGGCGGTACGGTGCCGTACCGGTACAGTGCAGTGCAGTCAGTACCTAACACGTCCAGAGCGGGACGGGAACGCCTGTGTTTGTTCTGGGACAGAATGAGCCTGGGACTGGCTGATGACCTGGCGCGTCGGTCGGATGCAGGCCAAGGACGATGGCGGGATCCAAGAGGCGCTAAACGGCATTGGTTGCAGTACAGTTCAGGGCCTCGTTAGGTTGTAGCGATTCCCTTGCCTTTGCCTGCCTTTTCGTTTGGGTGTCTTTTTCTTTCTGACAGCCTATGATTATGTCGGCTGTCGACGTGACCGGCACAAGGATATCTCCTGAGTTGAGCTGGCAAGGCCGGGTATGGAAGTTTGTGTCGAGAAAAGGTTCAAAGGCGCACAACGAGAGTGTGAGATTGTCTTACCGAGGATACGGGATGATATATATAATGGGTTTGTCCGTCTTTGTAAGGCAAGACGAGATGACCGACTCGATTCTGAGGCGTCGAGGAAGTGAATCAGCCTGATGACCAGATGCAGCAGATGCAGAAGTGGAGGCGAGACAAGAGACAAAGGAAGGGAAAGTTGGCTGACTGAATAAGGGGCGATTGACTGAGACGAGAGAAAGAGACAATGATAGGATCAAGTAGTAGTTTTTCGAAGCCCAAGACAGTCAGTCTTTGAACGAAAACGGAACCCTTATCAGATTTCGTTTCCTTTTTGATGGTGTCGTCGAAGGGGTTTTACAGTCAGTACAAGCAGCATCCATCTAATATCAGACGGAAGTAAGAAATAAATCCAAGACCTACTCCGTGCCTAGAAGTGGATGGAATACCCAACGTTAGGTAGTAGGTAGAGGTAGGTAAGGGGAGGAAAGAAGAGAAGCGCAGGAACCAACCCAGCACGCACTTCAAGGCTCTGAGCAAGCCCGCTCTTTTCATTGCTTTTTCTTCCTTCAGCTCGTTTGTTATCTATTGATTCAATTCAATGCAGGGACGTGTCGTTCCAATCACATTCCCGCCATTGGAATAAATCTCGCTTCATTAACAAAGTACATTCTTTAATCTTGTTCTCAAACCCGCAAACGGTTCAACTCAATTCATTGCGAAATTAATTTCGAAACATGAGATGCCAAACCTCACCTGTTTCAAACAGTGAAACAGATCCCAGTCTACCTACCACTGACTATCAACCCTGAATAAATGAATACAATCCTACCTTGGATCGAATTGATCATCTCCACCGTTCACCAGATCAGATTGTATCCGTACGCAGCGAGAGGATTGGACAATTACCTCTTGTTGGTTCCTGCGTACCTAGGTAGTAGAGGTGGTTGAAGCCGTGCGCCATTCTCAGGTGCAGTTCGTGGCTGTTGACTTTTTGCACCATTGATCGTGACGGCTTCACCGACCCTCAGCCTCTGATATTACGTCGATCTTTACACAAGCTCGACTGTCTGCAGCTGTACCCATCTGCTAATCTTGTTCATCCATGACATGTGAGGATCAGCTGTGATGGTGCTGTATGTACCCATGGCTTGTACATATCTTCGGAGCAAAGATGGGGGACTCCGCACTGCAAACTCCTGCAAGACATCGCTACCCTTCCCCCATCGAGTATAGCCATGTGATAAGATGTGACATTTCAGGCGGCTCTCGACAAGATGGGATTGGATGCTGTCTCGAGTGTGTTGACGAACCCCTCTTTAAGGCTTCTTGGACGATCAGGTGCGTTCAAGGAGTTTGAGGATCATTGTCAATACGAGGGTTCATGTTACCTTGATCTTGTCTGCACCACATATCATACATAACACACTCTTGGCTCTGTGTTTTGTTGCAGGGACTGGCAAGAAATAGGTATCACATGGATGGACGTTTACTAAACCCCAACATCCAAACTCCCAACGCAAGCCACATACCTCCATGGAATAAAAGAAGACCTCGGAAGACTCACCAGAAGCGCCAATGGCGTCAACGACCAACCTTTTTTCTTCCTTGATCCGCCCTGAAGATTTAGCTTTTGGTAGTACCACACTAACGACGCATACCTAATGCCTTGGAAAAGCTGTAACGAGACTAACAAGCACCGCAACACCCTGGCTTTGAAGCTGAATGAACTGAGCCCCTTGCTATTTTCGTGGAGGCTGTAAAGAAAAGTGTGAGCGGACTTGACCGAACACCAATCTTGGCTTTTCCCTAAACTATGTATGTAAGCACTGTTAAATTGTTTCAACGTCTTGTTAGTCAAGTTGTCCATTGTAATTAAACCGTCGTCAATCTCTTCGAATTCCTGTAAATTCTCTCGTGTCGTACGCCTTCCAAGACAATGTTTGTTATAATAAATAATCAAAGTTATCAGATCGTCCAGTCTACAAACGCGGAGAATTAAATAATTGAGCCCACCCTCCACGGCAACTAACATTCCCTGTCCATTTTCACTTTGGAATGCTCTACGTATCATTCAAACAAAAACATCAGGCCATTTTGCTGCTTCTGTGACTATGCGTGAAGCAGCTTTGTACTTATATCCCTGCCTAGAGCTCAGTTGTTTTATAGACCTCTTAGACCTCCTCTTTGAAACTTAGGTTGAACCAGATGAATCCACAACCAAACCTACTATTGGCATATCTCCTTTTGGCTACGGCTGGATTACGTTGAAACCAGATGCGATCTGATCTAGGGAAAGAAAGAAAACTCAGGGACCTTAACCAGTAATAATAATGTTTAGGTAAATCTAGTCTAAGTTTAGGGGACTTTCTACTAAGTTTATTTTGACACCTTATGTCAAAGTTCGGTGTTTTCTTGCCCCCTGAGGCTGTATATCCAGAGTTGCTGGCAGTGATTAAGTGATACAAGGATACAGCCCTGTATAAATAATTTGGCCTTGAGAGGTGATGGCGATACTGTGCAGCCATAGGTAGTCAAGAACGCCCGTAACATATCTCAAGAATACTATTTGTGCGGCTATTGCAACCCAAGGAACCGTACATGTCCCATGCTATCCCTATAAATTCATTCCCGCCATCCCGACTTTTGTCGCCGTGAAAACCGCTCAGGAGTCTATTCTGGTCCCTTCCCACGCAGCGAAAGAGAGCTCGCCGGCCCCGAAACAGAATGAAATCTTGAAAAGCGCCATGTCATCCCATCCTCTGTCTATGGCTGTTATATTCCACCACATACCGTCCCAACATCTCAACTTGCGCAGCAGGAGAATACAAGAAAAATGAAGTGCTTGCGACTTAGTGGTGGTGACCAAATTGTGTAAGAAGTGGCACCAGCATACCACCCATGGTGGCCAGTGTATCGCGCATCTGCGGTCCCTTTGGTTTCCGCTGTGCTGTGGTACTACTGTCCGCATAGCCGTTGATACCGTGGTCATGAGTATGGGGTGTAGTATCCTCTTGCATCGCATGCATAGCAACATATCTATCGAGATGTCAGTGACGAATATCAAGAAAGACATGCTTGACTTACAAAAACGTGCCACCCGAGAAAAGAAGTAGCATGCCGGTCCACCAATGATCACTCTCAACCTTACCACCGCCCAGCAGAGTGATCAATGTCCATGTCGTTAGTGCACCAAAGGGTGCGGCCAAGCTGAATACAATAAGATGTCCTCGAGCAGCTCGCTTCGATAGACCTTGCTTGAGGAGAAGTGAAGTTAGGCCAAAGGCAGCAGGAGCCTTGTGAATCATAATGGCCGCAAAGATAATGAAGCCAAGCTTCATATCTGAAGTGGTCGACGAGGCACCCATTGCAATTCCGTCGGCGGCGGCGTGGATAACCAATCCAGTGGTCGTTGCCAGGCTGCGCGCTCGTCGCGGTGTGGGTGTCAGGGATCCCAGGAATCCATCCGCCTCTTCGTCAACGGAGGCAGAATCGCCATTGAGATTGTCGAGGCTGATATGGCGCGTCTGAGGTGTAGAGTGAAGACTCTCTGTCGCATGGCGCGGAAGTCGATCGATCAGGAACATTAGCAGAAACCCCAGAATCAACGAAAAGCCGATTTCGAATGTGGGAACAGCATGTTCGTGCTCGTGCTCGTGGTCTTCCTCTTTCTCATGCTCCTGTTCATGCTCATGCTCATGATCATGTTCCGCTTCGTGGTCTCCGTCATGGCCCTGTTGGCCTTCCTTTCCACTCTCCACCTTTTCGGATCCCTTGTTGTCGGTAGTGCTATCTTTTGTGGTATCGCCGGCTCCTGGGATGGCTGGAGCATCCTCACCTGCCGCTTCAACAGCAGCCTCAATATCTGCGCGCTTGACTCGGCCATTTCCCGCTGCTGCATTTATAATGCGACGGACAAGCGCTTCGGTGTCCAACTCTTCGTTTCGCTTCTCAATTGAGCCGGTGCTTATTGTGACAATTGACTCGGGGAGTCCACGTGTAAGTACGGCGTGGCTCCAGGGGGTTCGGCGCACCAGGCTTCGAACTCGATGCATATGAGCAGCCTCCGCAGGCGCAGTTGCAGCCTCGATTCCTTCGGGGATAATGACTATAAGTGAGGTCCCGACCAATATTCCAACACCGACGCTCGAGAGTAGTCGAAGTTGTGATTGCGAAAGCGACATTGAAAGGGGCAGCGCTCCGGCAAGGAATGACCTGTTGGGTGAGTAAGTACGTTAGCAATTGACGAGAATGGCATGAGTCTATGATCACGGTCGCACGTACGCCAACGCCATGACTAGCTTGATTAAATGTCAGTCTCAATGATTTATCGCTGAGTGGGTGAGGTTGACTTACGCATAGGCCTAGAAGTAATAGTACCCCTCCCATGGTTGATGCGATGTCAATTGACTGACTCTGGGGTGGTTATGCGCAAAGGAATGATGCCAGGGCAGAAGGAAAAGAGGTGCCTGTGTGAAGACTACCCACGCATGTTGCGGTCTTGACTGATTTCCGTCAAGTGTACCGATCTGATTATGCGCTTATCGAGGGATTGAAGCGCAGTATCGACGACCGACAAGACAAGACAAGACAAGACAAGACAAGACAAGACAAGACGCAAGGGCGGAGCGGACAAGAAAGAGGTTGGCGCTGGTATTGGGTGTCGAACAAATTTATCTGAGGTGGCCTCGCTCATCAGTCAGCCTCCACTGGACACCCACCTGGGCTCACTGTTTGAAATGGATAGATTGGGCCCATCAATACCGGGCAGCCCTGCGACGGTTTGCTAGCTGTCGATTGGCCGCTGCGGGGCATCTAGACCCTTAAAATCCCCTAGAGGCCAACCCGTGGAGACAATGAATTCAGGGGGAGGGATAAGGTACTTTTTGGAATAGCGTCAACTATAACTGATAGACGATGTGAGATAAGATGTCAGTATCATTTCCCCCAGAGGGCAACGCTGTCTTCTAAATTAGTATGGGGGGTCTTGATGTGTAAAACTTTCGACTTGAATGAATACGAGACGGTCGTGGTCGGCGGCCATGTTTCACTCCAAGTTGCCTCCTTAAGGTATCCAATGTTCTATAGTGGCTGGACTATCAAGGTATAATTCCAAGACTTAGTAGTTAGTACGGAGTACCCTTCAGTGATTATCTTTTTTCCCCCTTCTACCTTATCATACCAAAACTAAGGTAGATAATAAAACCCAGTACGGATACTGAGTGATAATGAGTAACTGGCTGCGGAGGGTAGCATTTCTTAATCAACGCGCTAGATCTGCTTACCCTGTACTACGTGACTCGAGGGTGTATTCAAGCAAGGTCTCAAGTCATAGCACCTTTTAAGTATTGTTGAACATCTGTGATTCAGTTAGGTATTCCAACAGTGCTGCTTGAGGAATTCATCTACTTAAGTGGAATGATAGCCTTAGAGTTCTGATCATTTAACTCACATTGACAGTCACGAAAGCTTATATACAATTATACTCTAACATATAATCATGTCTGCAATCAATAAAATAACCCTCAGTACAAGGGCCTCTCATACCCATTGAGCTTTGGTAGAGCCTATACTTGCTTTTCGGTACAAACCTACTATCTTAGTACCTACCTACTAAGGCATGGATATTACCTAGGTTCACCATCTGACCATCATTCAAGCCAATATGAATATAAAGCAAGGTCTGTGCACCGGCGACAACTAACCCCCACATCGAAACTCAACCTTACAACTACAATTTCTCAGACTCGCAAAGCCAAGAGCGTCACTGACTCAATGCCTTCGAACTACACGGCCCTCACATGATGGGCGAACCCGAGCAGTCGCCTCGCAGACGCCATATACTTTCCTCTATCAACCCTGACAAGCCGAAAAGCCGAAGGAGGAGTCGATCTCCCGAATCGCGATCACCAGTTGACGTCAAGAGAGAGCCGTCACTCGATGCGCCATCAGAGCACACCGACGCCCAGCGCAACGATAAAGATGACGAAGGGGATACCGCAGCGCCGAGGCGCTCACGCATCCGGCTGAAGGGTCACCATAGATCTCGTAGAAGATCGCGAGACAGACATAGGCATCGAGATTGCGTTGATGATGATGATGGCGACAGGCACGGGCGTTCATCTGACCGTCACCGCCGACACCGACACCGTCGGCGACATCGCTCTCCCACACCAAATAACCCTCATGAACCAGAGCCTCTAGATCCCGACGCAGCATTTCGTGAATCCCTATTCGATGCCATGGCCGACGATGAGGGCGCTGCGTACTGGGAAAGTGTATATGGCCAACCCGTCCACGTCTACCCCAACGAGCGCGTAGGGCCTACAGGTCATCTAGAGCAAATGACAGATGAAGAGTACGCTTCCTATGTACGTCAGAAGATGTGGGAAAAGACAAATGCTGGCCTGCTCGAGGAGCGTGCTCGCCGTGAAGAGGCGAAGAAGCGCAAAGCCAACGAGGATCGTCGCGCACAGAAACTCCAAGAGGACATGGAATATAGTATCCGCCGTGGAGAGGAGCGCAGAGAACGTCGACGTTGGGAACAACGATGGGAAGACTACACGAAAGCTTGGGCAAGCTGGGATGGCACACCTACGGAAATTGCATGGCCGGTTGGAGGCGGTCGTATAGAAGACGTGGATGAGCCAAATGTGCGCAAGTTCTTGGTCAATGGACTGAACCCACAAGAGATAGGAGAAAAGTCCTTTGTGGCTAAGCTCAGAGATGAGCGTGTGCGATGGCATCCAGATAAGATCCAGCAAAAGCTGGGTGGACAGGTGGATGAAGAGACCATGAAGGGTGTGACGGCTGTCTTTCAGATCATCGATAAACTATGGACAGAGAGTCGGCCTAAAACATGACAATAATCATAATATAAGGTAGCATACAATACACGGTTATGCTACAGCCAGTAGACTCGATGGTGATGCTTCTCCTGGGTCAGAGTTGCATTACCTGGCAAGCTTGTGTGAGATAAACAATCAAATGCGGATTATGCTGAGTTCAGCTACCTACTAATGTTGGGGGATAGGATAGCCATGCATCCTTTGGAACACAGATCGCCAGCTTCTGGTTCCACAAAGTACCTGGTACAGATAAGTTAGGGGAGTCCTAAAGGAGATGATGCATTAGATACAGATGGTATCCAGAAGCATCTTTTAGCATGGCACTGGGGTGATTGCTCATTCATACGCCTCGAAGTAACTTAGGCTCGAGGTATTTCAAAGCCCCCTTATGAGACAGCCAGTGTCCATAACAACCATCTTCAAGGCTTGTTCAAGCCACTACTCTGTACACTGGCAAAGATTCATATAGGAATAAGATGAGAGATGAAAAACACCGAGATAAGCTTGAAATGTTATTCCTCTCCTCGGCTCTTAGAGTCATTCACAAACACTGCACAACAAGTATGAAGACGCCTATATAGGGGTTTATTTTACTTTCATTTTGCCGAAAATGGGACATTATTTGTTGTCTTATAGGTGTATGTTCTGACCATTCACTGAGTTGGGCTACTACATTGATAACCGGTGTAGCTCAGGTGAGGATGGAATTAGGGAGGCGACCATGTAATCATACTGAGATGAACACAAAGGAGCGAACTTTCCTTCGTATCAGCCACCAGGGATGAGGAATAATTGTATTATCATGACTGGAATGCGGATGTCACCCTTATTCCCGCCATTTGTATCCAGAAGATCAACATCGTCAAGACCGTCTGCTTGCTAGAAATGCTTTCAGCTGGGTTTGTAGTTATGCCGTTCATGTGGATGGCTACACTGTAAGTTATCGACTTCGAGAACGTCCTCAAGTGAGAGTGACTGAAAGTTGAAGTGAAAGGTCTAATATCAGTTACAATATGGTCAGTTTCATCTTACATGATATAGGTGGAAGTTAGCCGCGACGGCAGCTCACAAATCGATAATCCTGGGGCAAAACCGTTATACACATCTCACGCCACTTGTAGAGGCTGAATGAGAGTTGGTTAAGCTTAAAGGAAAACCTGAGACTACAACATACCACATGGAGCAGGCAATAAATGTAGGTAGCTTTGCATTATTCACGCAATTGGGAGCACATAACAGCATAAAACACAGAAATTCGTCATTGGGCCAGCTTATGATACGAAAAATCTTTATTTTGATATTCAAAGTCAAGAACAATTCATGTGAGTAATGCTATTGACGAAAGTCATCGTTACAGAGGCTGCACCAGACATACATAAGCATCCCTCAGTTCCATATTCCCTTTTTCATCACGGCAGATGTGCAACGCTAGTTAATTAAGATCCCGAACCCTGTCATATCCTTGCCTCACCAGAGTTGGATATATGTATACAAGAGTTCCGTTGGCTAGACTGATGGCGCCTGAAGATTTGACCGTTTATCTCATTATTAATGCAATCTTCCGTAAAGACCACTTTACATGTTGGCAAAGAGAGCAGCACCACCCATAAGAGCACCCATAGCGACGGCAGCAGTAGGCATGGCACCAGCGTTGTCGCCAGTGGCGCTGCTGGCGGCAGCACCAGCACTGCTCTCAATAGCACCCTGCTTAGAGGTGGCGGCAGCGATCTTGGACTCAATAGCCTCGCTGGCAGTACCAGTAGCAGTGGCGAGATCAGAGCTGAGAGAAGCAATCTGGTCGTCAATGGCGCTGGAGGCACTTGCAAGAGCGCTGGTCACGCTGGCGAGGGCACTGGTGTCGACAGTGTTGGATCCGGTCTCGCTCTCGGTCTCTGCAGAATCGGTGGCGGTGGAAGCATCAGTCACGGTTGTAGAAGCACCAGTCTCGGTGGCGGTGCTGATGCGAGAAGAGGCATCGCCGACGCGAGAAGAGACCTCGTCACCGACGCGGGTAGAGACATCCTCAATGATAGAGGAGGCATCACCAATTCGGGAGGAAACATCGCCAATGATAGAGGAGACCTCGTCACCGCCAGGGATGGAGATAGACTGGGCCTGCATCATGTTAGCAAGGCGAGTCTGCGAACCTTGGGGGAACAGTGTATCATACCTGAGAGTAGGCAGCCAGGGCAGCGAGAAGAGTGACAGCGGAGTACTTCATGATGTTGGTGTTGTTGGTGAGAAGATTGGACTGAGAAGTGCTTGTTGTTGTTTTGGTGATGCGAAGGACTGATCTTGAATTGGTTGGCAGCGATGAATGAGAGGGAAGGAGAGAAAGAATAGAGAGTCTGGAAGTCAAGACCGTTTTATGGACACAGACTGAGACACTTAGACACGAACCATGCCATGCTATACCATGCCGTCCATCTTGGCTGACTGCATTGCACTGGGGCCCTTTGACGATGACTTCTATTCACACACCCCCTTCTCCCCGGACTGTCCGCCTTAGCTCCGGGCCTTGGCGATTCGTATGCTTGGAGAACGGTGGAGGCACGTCTATCCGTAGTTAGGTCATCGATCGATACAGCCAACAGCTCAGTCAGTCAACGGGACCAGAAACGGATCCGTATGTACCCAAATATTCGTGCATCGTGCTTCAGATTGATGTCAGTCAAGCTACTGCTGCCTCTCTGCCTCTCTGCCTCTGTACTAGTACCATACACTGTGCACCTTAGGTAGTGTAGATCTCGCCCAGTCCGAGCCGTCCGCTGGGACGCTTTCTGAATACGGCACCCAGAGCTTCCAGATGGGTATGTAGTGGCCTCAGCTGGCCCCTAGCTTACGTTATGCAAGGCGAAGGAAACACAGCATCCCACGTCTCAGCTCGCCCTAAACGAGACCGCCGGGAATAATACGGTACAGCAAGTATGTACTCAAACGGAGGTCGACCCCGTTTGCGCAGAGCTGAGCCTCAAGCTCACGCGGCATGTCTTGGGGTTTCAGGTATTAGGTACACTGACCTAGGTAGGTAGATACCAAGGTAGAGGTCATGAATGCAGCCTGGACAGGTCGTTACCCGATGCATTCGAATGTTGAGGCCAATGCATAAAAGATTTACCGAAACGACCAACTTTTGACATTCAAGCTCATGAGTACTCCGTACCTGCATAATATTCCGTGACCAGGGTTTCAGTGCCGTTCTCCGAGTTGTAACAGAAAAACAGGAAAATGAGCAGCGATGGATATCGAAATGAAAAACCTGGAACCAAGAAATGGGAGGCAACAGCTGCCTCGGACGGGTATTTCTTGGCTACCAGGTGTACTGCACCCTGTACTGCACCCTGTACTGCAAGTACATACCCAGTGACCGACTGCAAATCCTCCATCATCATTCATCACGATCTCGCGCATGTGCTGTAACAGGCGTGTTCATAGCGTTAGAGGTCCTGGCTAGTGCAGCTAGCTACTGTACAGACTGCACGCTTCAAATATGCATCCGGGGGGGACGCCAAGACGAGACGGAGCCAAGATTTGCGATTGGGGTTAACAAACTTGGGTTGCCTTGGTCGAAAGCAAGAAAATTGTTAGAGCCAGCTCCATTTGACGAAGCCGACTTGTTCTGACGTTATAGACGAAAAACAGAAGTGGGTACTGACTGAATTGAGTTGCGGATACGTCAGCCACGGTCGCCACAGCATCGGCTCTACCACAGCCACGCCCACGTAAGACTACCTAAGGTACCTACTATTTTAGCACAAGGTAACTACAGTCTCAACTACAAGTATTCTTTCAGAGAGTGTTAGTTTGGTGTCCTCCACTGTCTAAAAAGATGAAAGCGCCGGCATCGCCTTGTCCCCTTTTCTCAGGATCCTGCAGTCAATCCTGCCGCTGTTCTTCGCCTTGCCCACTGCCAATGCCAATGCTGATGCTAATGGATGCTAATGGACCTCTATCGCGTAATTTTAGGTGGTTATTTGCGTCACGGTGGGCCTTTTGGGATGGAATCATGGAAGCTCCACACTTTGTTTGCTGGCTTCTCTTCTTGTTACGGTTGAACCAGGTCCAACACGAGCCCTATATGTACGGCAGTCTGCATGGGCCACTAACAAGGTCTTTTCATTGGTAAGCCAGGACCTCATACAGTATCTGTTCCCGTGATATTGATCCTTCATCAGAAGAACTGTGACCCTGTAGACAGACATTGGGTTCGAACATGATCGAAATTATGGATGGAATTACCTAAAAGACTGCTCTGTATACGAATGCATCCTGTTCCACGGAGTATAGTACAGTACAGTACGTACTGGTATATGCAACACGCCACCCTCCAACTCTGCATGGCGTTAAAAGGAAGCTTACTTCTCTGAAACAATGTTCAAGACATCCAATCAAACCTCGAACTATTTCCTGGAGAGAAACCTTGCGTTCCTGGTTTCTTTGCCTTCACTTCAGGAGTTGGTTGCCCCAGCCTCTTTCTTCTTCAGTACCTAAGGTATCCAGCTGAACCGCGGAAACCAGGAGGACTTGGAGTGAGACTTTATTAAGAAGTCCGCTAGTCATTGATGTTTGTTCGAGAAGCCCAAACGAGGCCTGAAGGAGTGTAGAGGATCGACTGACTGTCAATCCCCCAACAATACTGGTACGACAGTGGAAACACCCGATCTGGGGAGAATCAGACAAGGGAGCCCTTGGTTGTCTTGATCTCTTTTTTTAGTTGCTGACAATATCACAGCAATAGCTACCTTAACTTAAGGCTCATAACATGTATACACTCGATCAGGCATAACATGTCGACTGAGGATTAGCCCGACGATCCTGATTCCCTATCCGCATCCAAACCGACCAAAGTAGTATATAGATGGGAAACCTACAAGTACCACTCTTTGCTTGGGGCCTTTGCTCTTTTGTCTCAGGTAGTCAGGTACCTGAACGCGCGGCACGAGACACCTAGCCAGAAGAGCCATCAGTTTTTTAGCCTACAGCGCCTGATTTTGGTGTCACATCACACAAAGACC